TGTTACTAAGAATTTTCATTCTTACATTAGACAGTAAATCCCAATAATCTGAAGTTTTCTATAAACGATATAATATGAGACTCTTCAAAAGTCGTGTCTTCAAGTCTTTTAAAGGCTGGCAACGCATTTCGCAACTCTTCTTATGTAGCAGATGTCTACTAGCGACCATACTCACTTACCATCATGAAGATCGTTTGCTATATTACTATAAAAATATATATTCGGTGCTAACCACAACTCGAACCCAGGACCTCAGGATTTGCTTCCAAAATACCAATCAACAAGACAGTATTTTTTATTAATACTATATAACTAGCTTAACTCTGATGTTTGGTCTTGAATACCCCGTGCAAATATTTTGGTGTGACACTCGACTGTTAGCTGGAGAACACACGTGATAAGAAGATAACCACGTGCTAAAAATACTTAATCTAAGCAGGAGCATTACTGGGAAACGATATGGTTATTAAATCCAACGTATTGGCTCTACACAACTGTGGTACATGCATCTCTATCGTACGTCTGTCTGATTGGTCTTGTGGTCTACAGCAGAACTATGTACGACCAAGAATGAGCTTCAGCAGTTTCAAAAAGCGATATCTCATTTTTTAGTACTTTTGTATCTTGAAAAAACACTGTAATCTAAAGTTTATTGTATATTTTTAAAATAATATCTTCTTTTGTACAGTTACGAAGTAAGTTTCATTTGTTTCATTTAATCCCTTCACGACCGCGGACACGCCGGCGTGTCAGTTAACAATAGATTTTTTAGAATTTTAATTAATTTCTTAGAAATTTCCCTGGAGGTGTTAATTCGTAATAACAAATATGGATACAAATATACTCCCTAATCTAAAAACCATTATTGTATAACAAAACATGGGAAATGGAGTGCTGAGACGCACGCACTAGGATACAACGTGTCGCGTAAGTCTAACCTTTCACAGGACCCTCTTATCTAATTTAAGACTATAGCTTATGGCGATAAATTTTTAAATAAGTAATAAAAGAAAAATATAATAATAATATTATAATGTTGAGACAATGATCATAGTCGTAAGACGTAGGTCATATAATATGTATGTGTATAAAAATCCTTAATGAATCTGTAATCAATATACTTGTTTGGGCTTACTTAAACAATAATAATAAATCCAATACAAAATGCAACACAAATTGGTTACACTGAGTAACAGAACTCGCAGTAATCTGTATAATTAGATTGCTATTACTTTAATAAATCGTAACACGGTCGTAAAATTTGCAAATGCATTTGGCTTTGCGCCAGGAAGCAACCTTTGCGTATCGATTCCTAAGCCGCAGCTACCAGTGGTCTTTGATGTATACTTAACTTAAATATTTAAATATACTTAAAATCTGTATAATACTAGCGAATCATCCTTGCTTCACTCGGGGGTAAATTATATTGGATACTTATACTAAGTTTTATAGATTACTAGCATTGCCCGCGGCTCCGTCCGCGTTCAGATGACCAAAAATCAAAATCTTAGTACATAGTACATAGTTTCATGATGAGCGTTTGTTAATTGATAGCTAATTCACACAAGCGTTATTCAAATACGACGCCTCATTCATCGACTTTACTCTTTTTGTTGGAATAGTTTTATTATGTTATAATTTTATAAATAAATTTCATACTAAAATAATTTTATATATTTAAATGTTGATCTAAATTAAGCGTTATCAAACCACTAATTTTCAAAGTTAATATTATGTATAATTTATTACTCGTAGCCATGCTAACGAAATAACGAAGTCTTTGAATAATTTTAGATTTCTTAATAATCTATACATATAATAAAATTGTAACTAAGTCGATATGTACATTAAATATTTTTTTGGCAAATCTTATTGAAATAAACATTATTGTCGATACAGAGGCCGAATCTATAGATTTTAGAATTTTTGTCAGTCTGTCTGTTACCGCATCACAGAAAAACCACTAGAGAGATTTTGATGAACTTTGTTATGGGTATCACCCATAACAAAGTTCATCAAAATCTCTGGTTATCCGGGTCAACATATAGGATACTTTTTACCGCGGGAAAATATCTCACTTCTGGGAAAAAATACAAAAACTGCAATGTAAAAGTATACTAATATGTAAAACCTAAGTGTTGGGACATTAATACACTCACACAGCACCATCTAGTTCCACGGTAAGCTACGAGGTTTGTGTTATGGATACCAGATGGTTGATACACTACACATATATAACTTTCAAATACATACATATTATAAAAATAAACACATTCATGCTCATCACACTAATGAGGGTATTCCCAGCGGGATTCGAACCTGCGACCGCTGTCACAGCAAGTAGGGTTGTTATAAACTAAGCCAAACGTGTCGTCAAATACTTTAATTTTAAGAGAAATAAAGATAAACGTTATTAATAACTAGAATGCCGCAATTCAAGTGTCTATTTCTATTATTGAAATTAATAAAAAAAATCTAATTCAAAATCTAATATATCTTCTACCTAAGACCTTATATTATAAGCGCGGGAAAACAAAAATCGGGGTAATTTCCTTCTGACCTTTTTTAAATTTTTTTATACCAAAAAATAACCCCTATAAAAATAAAAAAAAATGACCCACCGTGATCCATGGAATCACTGTATGTAACCCAAGTATGTGTATAACATATGCTTTTCATAAACAAATTCATCATCATATCTTTTGCATTAATAGTTTTTTTTGAAACAGTTCTTATGTAGATTTTCCTTTATTGATTTTAATATGACTGGCCACGATATTTCATTCAATTAAGGCTTTTAAAATTATTTGTTATAATATATTCCGTTATAAGCTGTATTTAAATATATATTTTTAATATTTTATAATTTTAAATTATTACCTCAATATATTTTAAAGATTTTAAGATAATAATGTTAAAGAAATATTTTGAATATTAGACTTTCTTCCTACGTTATGTGTGTATCTACTAGGTTTTGACGTTACAAAAATTAGGATTCTCAATAGTTTTCAGAAAAAATATAAGGAAAATTTTACATCACCCTAACATATTATATAAAATAAAACATTATACATATATATTTATTGGTGCAGACAGACTGGCGTTGCACTAAAATCCAACTCGCAAATGATTAATAATAATCAAGTATTAAACTTATTAATACACTTTAAGTACTTACGCCAAGAAAGCTTTTTACTTTAATATCACTTAAAGCTTTATATCACGCAAAGCTCGCATTCTATAAAAACATTATGTTATTTAAAAATATAATCATGAAATTACATTTTTGACATTGTACTTTAGTTATATTTCTGTTAGGTCTTTTCCATCTTTAAGATATCATAATATAAAGAACTAGCGACTCACCTCGCTTTGCTCGGGTTCATCCCTAGTGAAAACCAAAAACAAATCTATCCCGCGGAAACCGCACATTTTTCTGGGACAAAATGGAACCTAGAGTAGATCCGTTCAACCGTTCTGGCATGATTGAGTAACAAACATCCATCCATCCAAACTTTTGAGTTTATAATAATAAAAATGGGATAAAGGCAATTATAATTAGATTTTGCATATATATTATATATTTTCTTGGTATAAAGCATATTTTATTTACGACTTATTTATACTTATGTTTATCTGTCACGCTTGAGTAACTGCAAAAATCTCTTGGGCTCCCCTACTATCAGTTTGTAGTGATCCTACTTACTGTGCCAGCTGTCGTAGGTTCGAGTCTCGTTGGGGGCATTCATTTGTGTGATGAGCACGAATGTTTGTACTCCAGTCATGGGTGTTTATATTTATAATACGTACGTGTGTATTTAAAGTTATATATGTGTAGTGTATCAAATATCTGGTATCCATAACACAGGCTTACCATGGAACTAGATGGTGATGTGTGTTAATGTCCCAACATATTTATTTATTTATAAACAGTTTCATCGCTGAATATTTTGCTTAGGAAAGTCTGGGTGCAGTAGAACTTGTACTTGATTTATACATCATATATTAGTTAGCCTAGTTTATACATATTTTAGCTCATTTTTATAATCATATTTTTAATATTTTAAAAAAGTATGACTAAACCGGGTAATTAGATAAAATAAGCAAGCTTACTGGCTAAGTTAGAATGCGGCAATAAATTAATTTAGCAATCAGCATAATTAAAATGCTACGTCATCTTTTGTGGGAGATAATAAAATTTCTTGCCACGCTATTAGGTGAATGTACAAAATGGTAGTACCATTAACATAATATTTAAAATATCAGCATTATGATAAATAAACTTACCAAATAAGTTAACAAAAACAACACAAAAATCTACATAATATATATTTAATTATTCAATATGTTATACATTTATAATTCCACATATTCATACTCATCGCTTTGATTAAATATAATCTTCTTAAATTCATCATTGAAATAATCTGCGATCATTTTCCATACATTCATAGAATACCATACAACGACACCAAGAGAAAAAAGTAAACGAAATACAAACGCTAACATATTTTAAAACTACTTTGCAAGCTTATACCAGTTGACAAGTCACAAAATCTTGATTAAATATTTTTCTATAACAACTTTAAGAGAAAATAACTTACCACTTCCAAGTTCATTAATGTTCGCGTTTTTATTAAAACGTAGTTTAAAATTTTCTAATATAAATGGTCCAGACAGGAGATATTTCATATATTTTTCATTTCCCCCGTCAACAGAGATAGAAAGCTTTGTAAATGGATTTAGTGAAATACAATCCAATCTTTTAATAAGATATTTTAAACATTTTTAATATAATTGTTAATGAACTTATATATAAGTATAACTTCTAAAATACACTTACGAGTATATCAATAGAGTTTTCATAGGAAAATAATTAGTAATTAAAAATTCTTATATTTTTAAAGTTATGTAAGTTATTAAAATGTATATTATATATATTTTTTTCAATAAAACGTAAAATTATGATGTCATGAAATGATCTGTTCTGATTTGTTTTATAGAACACCATCGGCACCATACAAAGCATCTGATATCATTCCAATAAAGTATTGTATATGAGAGTACGTCATTGTAGTGAGCAAGACGATGGTATTAGCTATCACAAACAGTTTCATATTTTCCATTCCTTCTTCAGATCTATAACAAAAGAAATATATTAAGAAAAATTGAATTCAATATCTCATTTTTTTATAATATTTTGTTGGATTGACTATATTTTACATAGAAATATTTTTTCATAGACTTAGTCATAACAGAAATATTTTACTATACTTCTAACATCTGTTTCATTAGTCACGCTGCTGTGCCTAATGAATGATTCACAGTTTACGTTTCACGAAATAAAGTTTTATATAGAAATATACATAAAAACATATTACTCTACAAATAAAGTTTAAGACACTTAAGACAAAAATCAAAACAAAATCTAACTGAAAGCTTTATAAACAGTGAAAATTTTATGGAAGTTGTTCGAATGCGGTCGTTGCAGCAAATTTTACAGTATTTCTACCATTTCTTGTCAATTCTAACTTGATCCCTATCGGGTTTTTCTGGACGTGAGCCAACAACTGGCTTCTTGCTGAGCATTGAAAATAGTTTTATATGTATAACAATCTGAGAGCAACAGTGTTTTCGTGCGAATGGTATCAAGTAGAGAACAATATAAATATATTAAAAACATTAATTTTTTTTTATAAATAATATTATGTACATTAAAATATTTATAGAAATAATTATTTATTAGCATTACTTCGACGAAACGTTTACTTCAGTTTGAAGTACCGTACTTGCTGTGCCAGGGGTCGCGGGTTCGGGTCCCGCTGGGGCATTCATTTTTGTGATGAGCACGAATTTTTGTACTCCAGTCATGGGTGTTTGTTTATATTTATAATAAGTATGTATTTAAAGTTATATATATGTTTCAATTATCTGGTATACTTAACACAAGGCTCATAGCTTACCATGGAACTAGATGGTGCTGTGTATTAAAGTCCCAACATATTGATTTATTATTTATTTACCCTGTCTAATGATATATAAATAATAATGTGATAATTATAATATTAGAAATATATTTTTAACGTTTACACGCAATTAACATTTTTAAACCATAATTAAAAAGGAAGTGCTATAGATAGATATTTACCAAATTTTATTTCAATTTACTTATTATAATTAAAGACATTATGTTATTGAAAAGTATGAAAGAAATAAGCAAAATATGGCAAATTCTTTCATATCACTATATCTATACTTCTATATTACTCGTAATATTATAAAGAAGTTAAGTTTGTGAATTGTGACTTTGTGAATTTGTGACGTTGTAGGTAGTAATCTCTATATCTACTGAATCGATTTAGATGAAATTTGGTAAGAAGATATTTTGAGACCCTGGGATTGATATAGAATACTTTTTATCTCGGAAATCTTACTATAAAGGGGCAAAAATGCGGATGAAAGTTTGTATGGAGAAGCAACCTAATCATAATAAAATATGATTGTTTTTTCTAGACCAAGTGACTATGGGATATTACAATCAATAAAGAAAGCGTAAGCCAATTTTTCACAATTCAAATTTGCACAAAATAAATGACCGATATAATTAAATAATTTCAAACGTACCTGAGCCATCCTCCGAATCCTTGATCATCTTCATCAATGGATTCTAATTTTGTCGGCTTATTATTGCTGACTTCTTTGGAAGACACATTACTGCTTTTTACTATTCGCTTGCCTGATACATGACTGTGTTTTAATTTCTTCATACTATTTACCTTAAAATTAAAAAAAAAATACTTAAAGCTCTGCGAAGTAAATTTTCATTAAAATATTATATACATAATTTCACAAAAAATATATATACCAAAAAGAAATTTAGCACTGTAATAATATAAACTGAAAGGATTTTTTAACACCCCATACACGACTAAATAAGCCACCTACACCTGTCCTAATCAAATATTGTCTATTACGCGAGTGCTGTCGCGTCTAACGAACCACATTCAGAAACCTGACAAGCGCTGATCGATACTGGAAGATTCTAAGTGTATTAGCGATCATGTTAAGACTTATATGTTATAGTATATGTTACATAATATGTCTTTGCATTTTAGTATGGCTTTAAATGTTTGAGGTATAGTTGTTAATATAAGTTTGAGTGAGGCTATTGTTTATCATAGATATAATAAAATAGTAACAAAGCGGAATCTTTATATGAAATATTTCTTAAAAACAATGACTGTAATATATTATGTGCTAAATATGATTCCAAAACAGTAGTTATTGAATTTTTTGTCTGTATGTATGTTTGTTTATTTGTATGTCTTTTTACATTTCACGCAAAAAGTACTCAACTGATTTTAACTGAATTTTATGTAGTGATAATTTATTACTCGAGTCAACATTTAGAATACCTATTATAACAGGAAAATCTTTCATTCCCACGGGTAAACATAAAAACTGGTTCTGATGAGTCGTCCTTAGAAATTCACATTGCTAACGCTGGCTTAATATTAAGAGATACATCATTACAATGGACTAGAAAATTGTAGGTCTTAAAAGGGCCTACAAAAAAGTCCGCAATAGCATAATATTATATCTATCTCCTAAGGCACACTCGCAAAAACTATTTTTTTATGTGCAAAGCGAGGGAAAATCGCTAGTTTCCTAAAAAGATTTTCTTCAAATAGATCTTTCACATTTTGCTCATGTTTATTATTAAAAAATATAATATCAATTGTTAAATATACCTATAAAAAACATAAATTTTAAGCAAACTTCATATTTTTTTTAAACATAACGAATTTGGGTCACTACACTTCGCAATATGTGTTGAAAGACTTGCACGGTGTTAGCATTAAGATCATCGTATCGTATTTATCGTTATTATCATCCGTAAATCCCGCGTGTGAAATCTACTCACTCCTGTTTATATTTTATCGCATCCTTCCATTTTTTTAGTGTTCGGAAATGCGTTCATGCACACCACCTGTGATTATGTAGGACTAATCGGCTAGAAAAGCCACTAAAACCCAACAAAACCACTCCCGTCTTAATGGGGCGACGCAGGGTCACTTAAACGCACTAAACCACGACGACGCCTTGACAGCAGGTTAGCCAAAAGCAGACCACAACAACATGAGGTTGCTCAAACGGTCCACTCTGCTATTAGAGAAGTACCCGGAGCAACCCGCATGGCACACTGCTCACCGAGGTAGGCCGCCTTCCAGTGCATTTTTTGGCTTCGCGCCCGGCTGGATTGCCTAAGCCGCATCCATCCTCTAGTCCAACCATTTTAATTAAACTAGTAACTTGTAAAATTCCATTTACAATTTAATTTCAATGATTTCAGAACATGAATTAAGATTAAAGAGAAAATATATTAAACAACAAGGTATGTTAGAAACGCTAGCTGTTTTATTGGATTTCTTCGCTTGGAAAGTAAGTAGTACTAAATTTGACTAGATGTTCTTTAGTATTAAACCAAGCATATCTTACACATTTATCAAAGAGCTCAAAGAGGCGAACTAAAAGATAAGGATAGTATAATGAGCGAGTGTTTCATTAACAATAATTTATATTAATAAACTTGGCAAAATGTGGTAATAATATAAACTTAAACAACATAACAATATAACTACAATCAAGTTTACATAATCAAATAATAATAAATGAGATTGACTCAGTTAACCAAGATACTACAAAGGTTTTTACAAATCGATTCACATGTTTGATAGAGGAATATCGTTTTTAGTCTCGTCTTAAAAAATATCATGTTACACGAAATATAGGGCCTCACTCTACAATATAAGTTCGCCATAAATATGAATTTAAGAAGATATCCATATTAATAATATTATAAATATGAAAGTGTGTTTGTTTGTTTGTCTTGTCTTTCTTCCACGTCGAAACGGCTTGGTGCATTGGCGTAATTTTTTTTGTGGAGATAGTTGGAGGACTGAAGAGTGACATAGGCATATAATTTTTACCGCGGGAGATTATCTTTTTCTCACGGAAAAATACGTTATAATATAATCCAATAAAATATTTATCAGAATTAATTTAAACTTTGCATTAATGCTCTTCAATATAATTGAAATATTTTAAATTCATCCCATAAGGGGGTAAAATAGCGGATAAAAGTTTGTATAAAACCTACCATTTTACAGTTTTTTTGTAGTTTTAGCGCGAGCGAAGCCGCGGTTTCTGCTAGTATACAATAAAAAGTCGTACTTTGTCTTATTATATAAAATATAAAAAGTAGTATCTAGTAGTACTTTTGAATTATGCTCAATGAATAATAATCATTTATTTATTTTAACATCTCTTTGATAGGCGCGAGCTTTGCCTTAAAGCGAAGGAGATTAACTCATATTTCACCTTGCTGCGGATTGCAAGCGGATTTTATATGTCTTTTGAAAGCAATGAGTTTCACTTTCTCTCTGTCTCTCTCTCTCTTTCTCTCTCGCTGCAGAAACTCTCCCAGTATTTTCCTTACCCTTATTTAAAATTGATAATCATGATAAAAGTGAGATACGCATATGCAATCTTAGAGCTGTGATATCCAAAATTTGAATCGGCTACAATCTGTTCGAATATTAGTTAACAAAAGTAATTATTATTAATAGCCCACAATAACCCTGGAATAATATAAAAAAAATTAAAATTATTTTCTATAACGAGGCTTTCTACTTTTTTCCACGTTGGTATATTTCTTATATGTACTATGTACTTCGATCGTACAAGCGGTCCTGTGCTAATATCCCGCGACCCTTGGACAAACTAAACACTGACCATATTGTGACTATAATGATGTCAACATGGTTTGTTTACATCTGACAAAAAATCCACCCTTGTTTATTTTATCCCTGCGTCTGGCAAAATCTTACACTGCGTAACACACTTTTTGTATGGAAAGAACTTTTTATGTTAATACAGTGATACAGATGACATCATTTAACTTTCTTAATACTTAACCGAACCTCAAAAGACTATATATGTAGCTCAAAAAAATAAGAAAAAGAAAAATATAACGAATATTTAACGTGTGTGTAGGTTTCGTTCTAATAAAATTTTACTTAAAACACTAAGTTAAAGATTCTACACAATTGTCTGTCTTTTTCATGACTTGGTGTCAAATTTTAATAAAGATTGGTATTTAAGGCTAAAAATGTCTGGTCATCTGGATTGATAAGAAATCTTGGTTAATCTAAATATATATAATTATAAATAAACATTAATTGGATATAGACACGCTGTCAAACGCAACTTTTAAAACGGAAATTTATGATATCTTCAAAGTCTTGTTAGTGGGGGCTTTAAATATTTTTTTTATATTTTCCTAAATTGATCAGTCTATAATAATAATTGGGTCCAAACATTTCTCTGTAAAAATGCATATATATATATATATATATATATATATATATATATATATTTGTATAACTATGTGTGATCTATGCTTTAAGGTAAACTAACATAATATTATAATAATGTAGTATTTCTTATTAATTTTAAGTTAAGATAAGTTAAGTTTTAAATTTAATAAAAATCTTGATTTTTATGAAAATCTTTAATTTAGTGTCTATGATATTTTATGACAATTTTAAACTTCCTTATCCTGATGGTATAGGAATGCTAAGACACTTATAAAATGCGTATATTTCTTCAGATTAAATCTATATTATATATTTTATATTATATATTTTAGATTATATCTTACTTCTTCTCAATAAAATGAGACTACTTAGTTGATTCTGTCCAATATAATTCGATAAGCAGTAATTGAATAAGCATTCACGTGTACAATTTGTATGATTAGGTACATCATCTACGAATTGGGGGAGCAGGTGTTATAACACGCGTTAAAGAGGTGTGTGTACTGGAGTGGCTCTACTCGTTAAGTGAAGCGTTGTAATTGTTAGAGAGATCGTCCATTGGGTAGATTTTTATTGTATGGCAAATACATAATATATTAATTTAAGACTCAGCTAAAAAAACTATGGGACGACAATTCGACCTTACCGGTACGAGGGTGTAACACTACCGATTTCCAAACTTCGGGTTGTTCAGAATATCTCGACAAGAATACTCAATAGCTATTATTAGACCAATCCGGTATTTGAAACTAGCTAACTTAAACCATATCAAAAGCCGCACATGCTAATCACTAGACCAATAAAGCAGCTTTCACAGTTCGTATTAAACGTACAAAATGTATAAATTCGAATTGTATAATTTTATTTATTTATAATTTACATGTAAAATTACGAGTAATATGTCATTATGTATGACACTGCATACTACGTCGGAAATGCGCGTTCAATTAATACACAATATCCACCTGTATGTAAACCCGATTTACTTGAAAGAATATTTAACAATGTTGTATATATAAAAATCGATTGCTGTTCGTAAGTCGCGCTAAAACTCAAAAACGGCTGAACTGATATGAATAATTCTTTTTTGTTTTATTAGGGGTTTGTCAGAGATGGTTTAAGTATATTATAAAAAATAGGGAAAACTCAACAAAACAGCTGGAAAATCGAAAATTTCAGAACTGTTTATTTTGTACCTATGTATATATAATTATATAGTCCGTCTATTTTATACTAACCATTAAAACGCACCTATTGACGAACACGAGCGAAGCGAGGGTGAGTCGGTAGTAATATAATAGTAAAGGCGGAAGATAAAGAACTTTGTAAAAGCAAATTTATAAAATATAGAAAAAAATATATTTACACGAAAATTTATATATATATATAATTGTAACTAAGCAGAATCTGTACATTAAATATTTTTTTGGAAAATCTTATTGAAATAAACATTATTATCGATACAGAGGCTGAATCTATAGTTTTTAGAATTTTTGTCTGTCTGTCGCTCTGTCTGTCTGTCTGTTACCGCATCACAGAAAAACCACTGGAGGGATTTTGATGAAATTTGGTATAGTGATAGCTGGTTATCCGGGTCAACATATAGGATATTTTTACAGCGGAAAAATATCTCATTTCTGAGAAAAATACAAAAACTGCATTGTAAGAGTATACTAATATGTAAAACCTAAGAATTTGTTTTTTTTATCTGAACGCGAGCGGAGCCGCGGGCAATGCTAGTAAATAATAATAACAGTGAAATTTATTAGAATTCATTTCCAAATATAGCGTTGTCATTATTAAGAACGGTCCTGCCCTCATTCTGCCACGCAAAACAAATGACTTAGTTAAACTATGTACACGCATGTCATTAGCTTTAATAAAATAAGCAAGCCGTCCCTTCTACATAATTATATTTAAGTAAAATAATATTTAGCAGACCCTACTTTAGACTTAAGTCTGGTAAATTAAGTATTCTGAATATCAATTTAAGTTACTTTAGTTTCATATTGTTGAAATTCTTTATCCATAGATTTAAGATTATAAGATTATAAGAGAAAAAAAATGTATTTTTATTTGTAATCGATGACTAAAAATATGAAAAATATAAAGATCCTCCTCACCCTGGGAAGGATGGAGGATAGCTTTTATCACGAAAATCATCCCTTAAGAGGGTGAAAAGTGGGATGAAAGTTTGTATTGGGAAATCAATAGTTTCTCAATTAAGGGATGTAAAACTCATCATACCTATGTGTGTGTGTATATATATTCTAATATTTAGTCTGTCTATTCCATACTAACCGTTAAAACGTATGAGTATCTAGGTATAAGTCGCTAGTAATGTCATAAACTGTTAAATTATAGTGTATCTTTTTCGTTGCTTTTTGTAGTAGAATGGATAATCCGTGTCCATTTTTTATATAGAGGGAGCTTTTCCGAATTCTGTAAATCAATTTAATTTATATTATGTACTTACAAATATAATAAAGCTATATAATAATAAATATTATATTACTAATGAGTATAGTTTTTGATTTACGCGAATATTTGACATTTTAAATAAAACTATCTTTTCGGATTTTTTCGCGGATTTATTTAGATTTTTGTGTCTCGACGTTTCGAATGCTTTACAGAAATCATGGTCACGGAAGAGACTAAGGTGTTAGATGTTTCAAAGATATTATATAGTTGTTACAGACACCCTAGCCACAAATAACAAAATGAATTCAAAAAATAGAATAATGGCACCAAAGTATCCTACAATATTTTTATTTTTTTTTAATTTTAAAAAAATTAAAACATTGACAATATTCAGGGTATGATTTTTATCCTGTAAAATAATAGACCTTATATGGTAATATTATAAATATTTCTAGAAAGAAACATCACACAAAGAAACACTTTTGTGTAATGAATATGGTCAGTTAAGACGCTTATATATTGTAAATGAAGTCGCAATTTTTTCTTAGTAAATAACCAAGCTTCATATATCATATTATACTATATAATCATAGAGAGATATAAATAAAAATATGATGTGTATGCAAAGAATTAAACATGGCCATATCCTTCTGATATATCGTTCGCAGGGTAAAATATATGTACCAGGGGATACCGTTCATTG